CCACGACCATCAAGGACATCACCAGTAGAAGACAGGACAAGCTTCCATCCTCTGCAGGGGTATACATAATCCCTTGTAATGACTGTAACAAGTTATACGTGGGCGAAACATCAAGAGACCTCCAAACTCGTATTTCAGAACACCAATACGCAAGCAGGACTGACGATACAAGAAATGCCTGTGTACAACATCGCAATTCACACAACCATTTAATTAACTACAGAAACTCAAGACTTATCGCCACAGAAGACAACATTCAATACCGAAGAATCCTGGAATCATCGCTTATCTCTATAACCAACAATTTCAACCAGAACAATGGCTTCTATAACATAGCTGAACCACTTGCCAAGAAACTTCTTCATCGCTATCCCACATAAGAACATAGAACACTGCAGAAGGTCTACTCACAACTTGTCCAATACCCCTGCCAAGCTACCCAAGACTCTATAACCCCACCCGGTAGATCATCAGATGCAGCATTCTCCACCTGACCTCAACATTCTGAACATGACTATAAATACTCCCGTACCTTCCACCCCAGGTAGATCTGTGTGGGCCTTGAAAAAGCCCACTGTGTGGGCGAAACGTTGTCAATAAAGGATCACATTATACTGCACATGTGTTTATATTTCAAGGGATATGTTGAAGATTGTGGTTAGGGGCACGCACAGCATCACTGCTCCTTCTCTAAGGACCGATGTGGAGATGCTCTCCGGTTCCATCGCCTTTGAGGTATCAAGGTGACTTAGCAGCTTCTGCACCTCCTCCTCGGTTGTTCGTATGTCATCCAACACTTGTTGGTATATTCCTTCTTGATGTTCCCTTCTGTGCTGTCTTCCCACAGCCCTTCCTGTTTCTATTGTGTGTGTGTGTGTGTGTGTGTGTGTGTTGTGTGTGTGTGTGTGTGTGTGTGTGTGTGTGTGTGTGTGTGTGTGTGCGTGTGTTTGTGTGTGGTGTTGTGTTGTGGGGTGTGTGTGTGTGTGTGTGTGTTTGTGTGTGCGTGTGTTTGTGTGTGTGTGTGGGGTGTGTGTTGTTTGTGTGTGCGTGTGTTTGTGTGTGTGTGTGTGTGTGTGTGTGTGTGTGTATGTGTTGTGTGTGTGTGTGTGTTGTGTGTGTGTGTGTGTGTGTGTTGAGTTTTGTGTGTCGTGTGGTGTGTGTGTGTGTGTGTGTGTGGTGTGTGGGGTTGTTGTGTATGGTGTTGTTTGTGGTTTGTTTTGGTGTGTGTTTTTGGTGTGTGTGTGTGTGTTGTGGGGTGTGGGTGTGTGGTGTGTGTTGTTCCTTTTGGACGTTTCAGTATCTTCCATGAAAAAAATGAGAATTTTAAAAAAAAAATAAAGTTGATAACTTCTTGTAGCAGATTTATGGTGGGGAAACAAATCCACAGAACACACTTTTACAAATAAAACGTTCGCACATACACTTAAAAGTTGCATGATGAAAAAAAAACCCTACGCACCCACCCACCCAACCACCCACCCAACCACCCAACACCCCCCCAACCACCCCCCCAACCACCCACCCAACCCCCCCCCCTATCCAACCCACCCCTCCCCTGGGAAAGTGGGGATTTTCATCTGAGGAGACACGAGGATTCTGGAACACGGAACGGGGGAAAGTCCCAAAACAACCAAGGGGGAAGTGGGGAAAACGGTTGACCCCCGGGGGGCCACAGATGAAGACCTGGAAACAAAAACCACACCTGCTATGACCACCCCTCACATAACCTCACCAACTGTGCCCAAACCCGCCTTGACCCACTCACATAAACCCCCCTCACTTGACCACACCTCACTATGACCACCCCTCACTATGACCACACCTCACTGTGACACCCCTCACTATGCCACACCTCACTTTGACCAACCCCTCACTGTGACCACCCTACTTTGACCACCTCACTATGCCACACCCACTATCCACACCTCACTACGCCCCACACCCACTATGACCCACCATTATTCCATGACCACACCTGGGGTTCATTGGGGGGAACTGAGGGACTTCTGGACACACGAAACTAGGGAAGCCCCAAAAACAACCCGGGGGATGGGAAGGTGAAGGGTTGTCATCCGGGGGCCCAGGGATAAGACCGGGATCATAAACCACATGGCTTCCTCATCTCTATGACCTTCCTAAACCTCCCTTTCCCTAATTATGACCAAAAATATATCCCACACCTCACTATAACCTCACCAAACTATGACCATCCCTCGAAAATGACCACATCTCGCCCCACACTTCACATACCACCATTCCAGATCCACACCGGGGATTTATCTGGGGGGGACACAGATGGACTTCTGGAACACGGAACGGGGGAAAGCACCAAAAAACCCGGAACTGGAGACCTGAAAACATAAACACACCAATAAACAAGTCTATGACCTCACCAACTATGCCACCCCTAACATGACCACACCTCACTATGCCACCCCCTCACCTATGACCCCGTCGACCACACCATGATCCGTGCAAAGTTCTGAAGCTGGGGAATTTATAACCCTGACTAATTAATAAATAAGTGAACTTACCCGTACATAAGCGAAAAGGTTTAGTGGGTTATGGTAAGAGCAGTGTTGT